CAGCAGGACTGCCTTTGAGAATAGTGGTTGCAAAATCAGATGCTATATTCTTCCCCTGCTGTTTGCAGTTTCCCTTATCTTCAAGAGGCAGAATCAGGCAATAGCAAATAGCTCTTTTCTTGAAGTCAGTCAAACGATACGCCGTTTCAGCTGGTATTTTTGGGCTTTAGGCATGTGGCGATAGCAGGGTATAATCATTCTGTCTAATTCAAGAGGAAATGTTAAAAGGATCTACATTTACAAGCCTTGCTTGCGTATCATGACCACTAATTTTTGCTGAGCAATAGTTCAAAGACCAGTACCTGAGGTCCTTGGTACTGGGAGCTCTAGCAGATTTCATTAACAAGGCATGTTCCTGCAGTCTTTATTCAGCTGCTACATTGTCAGAGACTTCAGTGGAAGTTGTTATACCTTAAACAAGAGTAATCAGCACCTCTCCATTTAAGTAATATCAATTTTCAGTGTCTGTAGTCACCTGGAAAGTTGAGTTGCTGTGTAGCTAGTGTTCCCTACTCTGAATGTCACAGCTGGTTTGAAAGTACAGTTAATTACTAATTGTAAGTCTGAACACACAAATGTGTATTATCTACTTCAGCGAGCACAGTGAATCAAGCAGGGTTGTCATAGCCATATGAGGAAATAAATACTGATGAACTATCTCTTTGCAGATACTTTAGCACATCCAGCTCAAGAAGCAGAAGACAATACAGATACCATTGAAAACAGAACGGAAGAGGATGACTAGGAACTGCCAGGTCTCAGAAGTGAAACTTCATTGTGAGCGTTGTTGAAAAGCTAACACATTCTGAAGACATGTCAAAATAATCTGTATTTAAATCTGCAAAGGTTTTTATTTAGTTAATACATGGTCAGAAATGTATGGGCTTTAGAACTGTTTATATTTCAACATTTAAATTTTTCAGGCTGGGATTCATATTATTTGCTTAATTTTCCTGAAGAACCAATGGGATGCATTAAAAAAAACACATTTCAGCTACAATGTGATCACAAAGTGAAAATGCTCTCAGTTTCAATTAGCATATTTTAGTGGATTCACATTTTAAAGCAAGGCTGCTTTCAGGTACCAACAGCAGCACAAGGGGGTTATAATTCTACAGAAGGAACATCTTAAATCTAAAAATCTTTCTTGTTTTTAGCCATTTATAACTAGCACTGTGATATTATGGACAATAGCTGTAATATAATGTCACCATTTGACTTTGTAACTTTTTGTATAGAGACACAAGTGTAACATTTGCATACATAGCAAGATTACCTTTGTAGGTACAGATTAGAGCAGTACTCACCCTTTGACCAATCTGTGCAAATTGAAGTGAACCAGCCTCTTATTAACTGCATTTTAAACAAGAAGTCAGAAGTTTTAGAAATGCTTTATTGATGTGCATTGATGAACTGGAATACTTAGTTACTGGTGTTTGTAGAGTGAGACTGTTTGTTGTAGATTTGATTGGGTGGATTGTGTTGTTTGTACACACAATTCAGGACCCGATTCAGCCCTGGTGTGATGAATTAACATCTCCATTGAAGCCACTAGAAACAGCCCCTGCTTCCACCAGGGC